ACAAGAGCGCCATGACCTCTAATTTTGTCCGAAGGCTTTGACCCTCAGGACCAAAACCCGGATGGCCTATATCGTTAGTTTCAGTTCTGGGTCGACGTTCGTGTGTTTGCAGAGAGGGAGAGGGAAGGGGAGGGAGAGAGGGAGGGGAGGGAGGAAGAGAGGAGAGGGAGGGGGAGGGAGAGGGAGAGGGAGAGGGGGAGGGAGGGAAGGGAGGGAGAGGAGGGAGGGGAGGGAGGAGGGAGGAGGGGAGGGGGAGGAGAGAGGGATGGGAGGGAGGGGGAAAGAGAGAGGGGGAGAGATCGAACGAGCGCAGGAGATGCCACAGGACAGATTCGCCTGTGGGGAGAGACAGAGGAAACCCTGATGTATGACGGAATGACTGAAGGGGGGTGGTTAGGAGGGGTAGATTGGTGGGGGGGGGATCGAGGTGTGGTCTGTACCTAATAATTGGCTGTGACTCCGCCAGGTAAAAGGTCGAAGGTAGGGATCCTCAAACGATGTAATAATTCATCAATTTATCTATTCGTTTATATGTTGTTGTTTTTTTTCAATGTGTATATGCATTCGTGTTTTTTATTATCGGATGGAAGACTTCAGTGTAGTATTGGGTAGAGAAAAGGGGGGGAGAGGGAGGCAAGGAATAGCGACATTTGGCGTTCATCAGCTGCCGTTGTTTACTATAGTTCGAAGGTCGATACGCCCCCAGTGGTGTTTCCGTTATCATATTTGTTAGAAACATATGCCTTATCTAAGTCTATTAAAAATCAGGGTCGGTTCCCAGAGTGTTTTGCAGTCTGCTGAAAAATCTAGGGAGAGGTGGGACGGTACATGACTTGAATATTTGAATGATATGGTAGATATTTCGTATCGGCCGCAATGCCCCGCGTTCTGCAGGGAGAGAGCGAGTCGCATGCGCTTCGGTATGTTTTTTCCCTCCTCGGGTATGGCTGCCGAGTGTCTGCTCTCCTCATGCCCTATAATAAACCGACGCTATGTATGGGAAGTAGACCCTTTTTATGATACAGCGAAGCGGCTGGGGAAGTCTTAGCGCATGAATCAGAAGGGAGAAGGGAGGAGGGGCAGAGAGCAGTTGCGACTGGTTTGGGACGGGTCGGTCTGGTCACGTGATCTCGCGTTTTCCCGCCCAGTACCCTACTCCGCCCTTTACTACATCATGCACCCTTCGTTTATGGCGGTGCATTGATTTTTTTATATTTTATTTTAGATATCTATCCGTATTCTCTTCGTATTTATCGTATCTCCTTCGCGGCACTTCAGTTTCTCAAGTTACTAGCTTTTCGCTGAAGTTTATCGCCGTCCATTTCAAACCGAGTGCCACATCTGCTCCACCCTCCGCGCGGCAACACTTTCAGCGCTCATTACGTAGGCGCACTGCCTTCCTGATACGCGATGTTGCCATATTGCCAAGTGACGTCATGTCATCTCATGCCCCCTGCCTTCCCCCTTCTCGTGTGCGAATCCCCTATCGCACCCTGAGTCACGCTTGAACGTATTACTTCCATGAATGGTGCAGACACGCCCTCCGTACTTCCCTCAGCCATTTGCGCTGATTACCTCCTAAGAGCAGTGCTTTTTTTGACAGTTTATTAGTATTTTTTTTTACTCCATTTTCCTGTACTATTTATATCGCCGTTGTCTCGCGTGCGATTTGAAAGTGCGATCAGTGAAAGTAACGTAAATCGTAGTATGAATTCTAAATCCGTAGTGCTGTTTCTAAGAAGCGTCGACTGCACGCGATGCAATTTGACACCCGGCACAAGCGCATCATCGTCATAGATCATTACCATTTGTCACTCCCAGGGTTACGCCAGCATCTCGTCAGTTAGGCCTGGTCACAAGGGACAGGTTATGAAAGCCTCACAGCATGGGGCGCATAGTAATCAGCATGGAGCCCAAACCTAGTTCATTAGTCCGGGTTTCAATGAACATATGAAAAAAAAAATTCCATCATGCGTATCGTTTGGGTTTCGTAATGCCATTAGGAACTCGGCCATAGCACACCGCGCTCGCTCCCCAACCCGGTTTCGAGGCAGGTCTCAACCCCTTTAATACGTCGTTCTGGGCGCCAGGTCTTCTGGACCGGATTTTGTGAAATTTTGCCCGAAGCAGTTTGATTTGGAGTTACGGCTTATTCGCTTCATTGTTTTTCCTCAGTGTTGATAATGTCTACAATTGGATCAGTTTAAGAGCGGTTGCACCTCTGTTGTATTTATATAATTGTATATCATGTAAGGTGAAGTGTGGTCGACACGGACCGATAGAGGTCACGCCGACGGCAGATAAAAAATGCACGGCTTCTCGGAACGTCTGCTCCCTTCCCGATAATCGAGGAGTGTGCACGGTGACGCTTCCATTCGATGATCCTATATTTAAAGGTGACGGTAGCGCGTCGTTATAGTTAGTTATTCAGAGATATTGTTTCTTCTCAGTGATTTATCCTATTATATTTTCCTGAACGGCCTCCCAGTCAAGTATACGATCACATGCAAGAGAGGAAATGTGAATCCCTGTGGGAACAAACGAACAAACAAACAAACAAAAACTTGCCTGACCGGTATCATGTAATTACTCGCTGAATTCAGTTTTGCGCGGCGTTTCATAAACGCACCAATTAAACAGGGATGGACTACGCTGGTGGGTTAATGTAAACAGTTGTGAATACTTGAATGACTTCGGCAAGCATGAGTCACCTGCGCGCCTCCCTGGGCCCCACTGAAGCACCTGCCCGTTTTCCAGCACTTACATCCTTGGGGTCGGACCCTACGTATGACGTCACTTTCTGCTGTGGCGCTTCTGTTGGTGGGACGGGAGGGGGGAGGTAGAGAAGGAGGTAGGGAGGACGGACCTTTAGAAAGTAATTCCTTCGGAGTATTCATTCGCTTAAGGAAAGGTACAGATGAGAACTGCCGTCTATTGCGTTTCCCAGGGCGGAATGAATGGGATATGTGGAGGTATACATGCAAAGTTTGTCGGGAGGGGAAAGTGGTGTATTTGTAATGATGGCATTCATTGTGTGGATGATGTAGATGTTTTATTTATTTATTTATTTTTTGCTACCATTTTCGTGTTTTGTGTTTTTTTTTCATTTACACAAACTAGTTGCATACTGGTATTTGGAAGTATGAATGGCGTTTGTAGAACATGTAGGGTTTGCCTTTGTTATGTTCAGCAAAATGAAGAAGCCTTATTTACAGTCAAGTTTAGTATTGCTGCACACAAATGTCTTACTTTTCTTAGCTGAGTGAAGCCCTATACTATAGAAGCCTTGACCTTAAGTTACTTATGTAGAGGTTAAGTAAAGGATTCATGTCAAGAGTACTCTTTTTTCTTCTTTTTCTTTGCTATTACTATCACATTTTAAAATGGTATTGATGCTGTTGCAATTGGTATTGTTTGTGTGTCTTGTAGGGGTGTAAAGTATTAACTGACAGTTTGTCTTAGAAATTTGGTGTTATTGATTTTTTTTATCAACTTTTAAAAAACTGTACCCTTATATATTACATACAGAAGCAACCTTTGGTGTTTATATTGCAATTTTCTTTTCTCAGGTTGATATTGAGATCAATGGAGAGCCTGTGGACATACATATGAAACTAGGGGAGTCAGGAGAAGCCTTCTTTGTCCAAGAATTAGAGGACAGTGAGGAAATTAGTCCCCTCCTTGGCACCTCACCTCTGCCACCATCATTCCTTCAGGAGAAACTTGATCTTGCAAGAGCAGAGGAGGAGGAATCGAGACCTAGGGATTCTGGTGTTGATGAATCCATTTCCTCATCTGTTGGCCAATCAGTAGTGCCTCCTGGTGATGTGACGGTCACAGACTCACCGGAGACAGAAACAGCAGGAGATCAAGACTCTACTCTGTCACCCTTGACTGACACAGGAGATGATGTCAAAATTGTCAGGGTGAAGTTATCAGAGGACCCCAAGAGTGAGATTGGCATTGTTAGAATTATCCGTAAAACAGATGCCAAAGTAGAGAGAAGAGACCATGGGACTCAGACTATTAATAATAATAATTTAACAACCAGTAACAAGAAGGTAGAAGTCAACAACCAAGGGAAAGGACCCAACTCAAAGTCACAAGTTGGTGATGGTGCTGTTCAGAAACGTAATAGCTTGATTATTGATGGCCAGGGAAGCAAGACTGATGGAGAAGAAACGGTTAGAAGTAAGTTCATGCAGTTTACATGTAGATATTTTTGTATGTTTAGTACAGATGTATGGTTTGTTTTTACTGGAAACATGATTTTCTTTAGCCTATACTATGTACTATGCAGCTATGTTCTGACCTATTTCTTTTGTTTTTAAACTTAGTGAACAAGAGTATCCGACGCAAGCGTAAGAAGCGTTGTAATGGAAAGAAGAGCCGACCCAAGAGCACTGGGAGCCAGTCAAGTGACACATCGACAACAAGCGAGGTTGCAGACATCAATGCTGTTTTACCTAGTGGTGGTTCACCAGGGAATCAAGATGGAATTTTTGTAATGGATGATATTGAGAACAATGAGAAGGTATGTGAGTCATTTATTTGCGAGCTTTGCAGAGTTTTTCTCCCTCCTCCCACTTAGATTTTTGTTTAGTTTTATTCTTTAAGCTGTGCATTTTCTGTTGCTGCTAGACCTATTTCTAAGTGAATAGGGCTAAACTTATCTAATTTTCATTTTGTATTATCTATATTTTAGTTTTTTGGTTTGGATGAAACATTAGAACTTGATGTATTCATATCTTTTTGGTGGCACTTGATATTTTTTTTGGGGCGTTTTGTTGTATTTTTGTATTGTTACTTTTGAGTAATGATTTGAAGTGCCATCCAATAAGATTTGTATCGAGTTTTGATACTAACCCATCGTATACTCTTATTTTGATTCTTTTTTATTTGTTGTCTAGATGTTGACATACCTGAAATTCTCTTAAGCAGCATTTATTTCAATTTTCTATCAGTCTGGTCCAAGCACGTCTACTCCCACCTCCCACATGGCGCAGTCGTCTTCTATGCCGTTGCTGCGTGAGAAGTCCCGGGAAGAGGTAGTCGATGAATGGAGTGGCTCTATGTCTCGATCAATGGGACCAGATTTTCATCCATTCAGTGATACTGACCTCAGCCCTCCACCAAGGTAGAAATTAGTAGTTCAAGGATAACTAGATTGAAAACTGTTACTGTTTGTTGATATGTGGTTTTAGCTGCTTGGATGTATTATACTTGTTCCGTTGTATGGTTAAAGTCACCAATACCCTTTTAGCCCATCGAGTTCAAGACCCCCAACACCGATCAAGTCTGACACTGAGTATGAGGTTGAGAGACAGCGGACAGACTTCATTGATGGATCCTCGCAGACAGATGAGAACAAGTGGTCTTGGACATGGGGAGAACTTCCCACACCACCACCGAAGACTCCAACTCGTACTTCGTCTTCAGCTGCGGATTCCTCAGAGATGAAGAACGAAAGTGACATGAAGAAGACATCAAAGGGAGAGGGTAAGTAGTAGGCTTGATGTCTGCTTTTAAGGGAAAATATGGGAATAGTATTTTATTTATTTTTCATTGTATCAATCTGTTGTAGGCTAAGTATTTGTTGGTAAGATTGAATTTAAGATGCAGATAAAGAAGTTCTTGTCTGACAATAAACTTGTTGCAAGAAAAGGGATGATAGTTGAAAACTGTTGCTCATTATGCTGTTATATTTTGGGCATCTGTTCATATTAGTGATCCTTTTCTAGGTTTTGTTTAATGCTTCAGATTTGTGGTGAAATATGTAATTTTTTAAATAGTCTAAAGCAAGCAAGTCTTTGAGGGTATTTATATAAGCTCTTGGTTTACCCAGTCTTGCCCAAGATATATTGAACATAATGAGCATCATTTAAACATACTTTTAAGAAGTGTAAAAAACAAGTCAGCGGTGTTGGGTGAGGCTTCTTAAAAATATTAATTACATGCTTACAAATTAAATATGGTTGCTGAGACTGATAGACAGAACTTAGTCAAATATGATATAGGAATTTATTTACAGAGTAGATGCTTTGTGTTGGGATCAGTATGTTTACCTTGTTATCCTATATAACTTGGGTACTGTTTATTGTTGAAAACCGATTCCTAATGAGATGGACAGCATTATCTTTATGGGAGTGATTGCAAAGATAATTTTAACAATTTGTGCAAGCACTAATTGTTTTTCTGCTCGGTCCATCTCTCAAAGAGTCGGTTTCCAAGGACACCTTGTAGCATGTCTGGGCTTGTTTCCCCCCCTAGATGATGAGCGGTCTGTGTTGGGCAGTATGTTTAGCTTCATGCGGGCTACCAAGAAAGCTCGTCACAATCCAGAAAGTGAGGGCATTTACCTTGATGACCTGAATCTGGAGGAACTAGACCCAGAAGTGGCAGCACTGTATTTCCCTCGTAACTTCAAGGTTCCAGAAAAGCCGGGCTACAACAGCTTCTCCTCTGGTATGACTTACTTATCCAAGTAGTTTGTAAATTGCTTTTGCTCTTAGATTGAGTTGTGGACATGGAGATCTAACTTGTATCAAGGTGTATTTTCTGCAGACTAACCCAATTTCATTGATGATTTAAAAATGGATAATATGTTGGAAAAGTGATGTGAGTATTAACTCCAAGAGCATGTAAATGATTTGGCTATTTGTGCTGAAAGCATGAATGAGGTTTTAAGTAATTATCATATGTGAGCCTCCACATCTTTGGAATGAAGGGAACAGTAATAGTAATGCTATAATATCAGTGATGATTTCATAATGATTATCCATTAGTAAATGAATGTCTTGAGAATGAATGATAATCCTTAGTATCAAATCACCATAATTTACAATATGCTGCTGTCTATTACTCATGTAAGAGTTCTTAGTATTCAGTTGGAACATGTTTATATGATTAATGAAAAGTATCAGACTGTCCTCATTGATACTGTATTACTTTGGCTTTAACAAACAGTCCTAGTATTCAGATATATTCAGTTTTCAAAGAATACAAACAGACATTCTCATGAAAACTATTTTATTTTTGGTGATATTGATTATGAAACAGGAATCTACATTAGTGTTCCATTTGATATGATGTTCACTAAATGATTGTTTTCTTTTTAAAGCTCAAGACTTCTCTCCTAGTTGTAAGGCTACTTGTGTATTAAGCTATGTGTAGATCAGCCAATTAGTTGGTACAAAGGTGATTAGGTTTAGTGCTTTGTATAACACATTAACCCTTTTTTATGCAAGGAGATAAGTAATATAATATCAAGGCTTATGTACTAACAGTGTAAGTTCATAAAGAAAGAAATTATTATACTATTAGCAAAGTCAATAACTTAAATATCAGATATGTTTTTGTGAAATAAGTAGAAAGGTGCAAATATACAAACTGTATAAACCAAATTTATATATGAAATTATGCCAGTCAAGTTTGTTATATTGTATATAATGAAAGCTTGAAATCAGGAGCTCCTGTTTCAAGAAAGGGATTAGATATCTATTTCATATTTTCTAAATATGATATATTGAACTGTATGATGTATTTTGAAAGTTTAGTTTATATGTGGAAGTGTTAGATTTGGTATTGGAATATTGATATGGGATATTTGTCTTTTTTTAATGCATGTTAAAAAAGTTGCTGTAATTTTGTTTGGATGTATATGTAATCTCACTTGATTATTCCTGGATCGTATGGTTGTGACTATATTGTAAGTAATCAGTTACTTCATAACCTACCAAAGAACATACAATATTTTGTGGAGAAATGTATTTAAAGTTTTTAAGACAATGTACATGCCCCCTCCTTTATTTTTTTAGCAAGTGCTTTTCTGTTTTTTATTTTTAGTAAGTGCTGTAAAGGATGATGATGTTGAGTCGGGGAATGGTCCTTCCCTGCCTCAATCTCCGCACAGTGTCGAAGGAGCCATTGGGGGACCAAAGCTGTGCAGCGATTCAGACTTCGAAGATTACAGGCACCCCATCTTTGATTACAAGTATGTTATCATTTCTGAAGTTACAGGAAAGTGAATTAAATAAGAATAAATTGATACTGAAGGAGAGTAAAAAAAAAAAAAAAAAAAAAAAATTGGTATTGATGATTAACCCGCAAGGACAGAAAAAAAGTAATATAGAGAATAATGTTGGTATCATGATAATACCTGTTTATTTATGTCATGCCTTTTATTTCCAGGGGTTACCATGATATTGCCTTCTCACTGTGTGGCCGCCTCCACGAATACGAGGGAGACTTCCCAGAAAGTCTTTTTATGCAAAGTCTAGTCACTTACGATGATTTTTGTGAGAATCCACAAATTCTCGAAAACCCTGACCTTGTTGTTAGGTTTGGGGGCAAGTACCTGAATTGGCGTACTGTTTCACCACAGATTCTCTCTCTTGTGTTGTTCCAGCGACCTGTGCCTCAGGTGAATTTCAATATTTCTTTTTGTTTCTGGAAAAAAAAGTTTGATGTTTGATTTGTTTTTTGATTTTTTTTGGCTAACTCTTGGTTCTTTTTGATGCTCCTTTATAGTTCATTTGTTTTGATTTTTACTTTTTTTTTTTTTGTTTTTATGTCTGTTATGTTCACTTTGTATCTTATTTATTTAAAAGTGTTCACTTTGTATCTTATTTATTTAAAAGTGTTCACTTTGTATCTTATTTATTTAAAAGTGTTCACTTTGTATCTTATTTATTTAAAAGTTCAGAGCTCTGATGCTCAGAGATTGAAGGAAAACTGTCCTGTTTTACCTAAAGTAATGTATATTTCTAATATTGTTACTGTTTCTAGCAGAGCAGTGAAATCTGTGAGAGGAGATCCTAAATCCCGGTGACAACCTTGTTGAGGTAACAGCTGCCGAGACTCAGGTCCAAAGAAGAAGGGACTTCATGGTCATACCCCTGGGACAGATTCCTCAGAGTCTGAGGATCTTGAGATGCGCAGGCCCTCTGGAGATCGCTGAAAAGTTTGAGACTGACATCGGATTGTAAGTATCTATCTTTGTGAAACTTTTAAGTGATATAATATATGCAATGTGTATTAGATGTACTTATATAAATATCGTTTTGGGCCTTGGATGATTAATGAAAGGATTCTTAGCTTTTGTGATGTGCATCTCTTTGGTTGTGACTTAAACTCTTTTCCTACAGGAAAAGCTAAACTTGAGAGAGGGAAGCAATGAAGCCTTATTCTCAGTTACAACAGCCTATCAGGGAACAACACGATGCAAGTGCCACATTTTCCTATGGAATCATGATGATAAGATTGTTGTATCAGATATTGATGGCACTATAACAAAATCTGATGTGTTAGGGCATCTGCTGCCCATCTTGGGCAAGGACTGGGCCCAGAGTGGGGTAGCTCAATTGTTTACCAAAATCAAGAACAATGGCTACCATTTCTTGTACCTGTCTGCACGAGCTATTGGTAAGAATGTTGCTACATTTACAGTATTTTTTTTTTTTTTTTTTTTTTTTTTTTTTCATTTCTATCAATATGATTTATTCAACATTTTGTATTCAATTTCTTGTGTTTCTTGTTGTGTTCAGGAATTGTTATAAAAATAGTTCTGATGTTTTAATCTTCATGATTTTCATTATCTGGAGAATTGTATTTAATAATCTGCTGTTTATATCTAATAGAATATATCATTAACAAATATTAGATATAACTCATACACCTGTTGATTGTCTTGCTATTCTTTTATTGAGATTTTGAGAATTTAAATGATAGGCTATGATCACCATTTTCAAATTCCCTTGTTATTCATTACTGAAATATAAACAGTTCCATTCTTTTAATGAGTGTAAGTGATAAAGAATATCAGGTGTGATTTTTATGCATTTAACTCTTCACTATATGTTAACAAAAATGCAACCTCAGGATTTGTGAAGAATCAAGAGTGAGAGAATGGAAATATTCATGGCCAGTATAAATAAGGATATTTGACAGTTATGTGTGCATTATGAATCTTGATGACCCTTTTAGTGAAGAGTTTAAAATGTCACAATAGTCTAATTGATAATAAAGCACAGAAATTACTTTCAAGATGCAGTGATCACATTCTTCAAAATTATTATTGCAGGACAGGCACGTATCACTCGGGACTACCTCCGTTCCATTAAACAAGGAGACTTGTCACTACCGGATGGGCCTCTATTATTAAATCCTACTTCCCTAGTGCAAGCTTTCCATCGTGAAGTCATTGAAAAGAAGCCAGAGGAATTCAAGATCTCATGTTTAAGGGATATTCAGGCATTGTATCCACCTGGTAGAAATCCTTTCTACTCTGGATATGGAAATAAGATCAATGTAAGTTTTTTTTATGTTACTTTGTACTATTTCAAAAATGTTAGTACGGTCTTTTATTTTTTTGCATTTTCTAAGTCTTTATATTCTTGTAGGAAGAAAACTGAATATTTGTTGATTAACTTTCGCACTGAGTTTGACTCTGGACAGAATGAAACTCAAAAAGTATAGGAACCAAATTATTTTACAGTGCCTGACGGAAGTAATAACTTTTACCCAGACACTACCAGGTACATGAAAACATGTACATTTGAGTTATTGATTTTTTCAATAATCCACTTTTCTTCATTCATTGGAAATTTGTTTTCATGCTTATTTATGTCTTGATATAAAATTGATACATATTTAATGTTTTGATATAGATAACATAAAATATAAAGCAAAAAATGACAGGTACTGGGTTTATTAGTGTAAGAGTGAAGGTAGTTACTATTGGCCATCGTGAACTCTTTCAGTTATTCATAGTTCACAGCATCAGTGTTGGTTTAGTCGTGTGTAAACTCTCAGTGTTGTAAAATGTATTTGTAATGTGTACATATACACCATTCTCCCTTTGCAGGATGTGTGGGCCTATCGTGCTGTAGGAATTCCCATTTCTCGAATATTTACTATCAACCACAGAGGCGAGCTAAAGCATGAATTAACTCAGACATTCCAATCCTCGTAAGTATATAACATGTTTCTTTTCTCTAGTAATTTTTTTTTCAACCATATCTAACATTTTATGATAATTTTTATATATATATATATATTTTTTTTTGAATAAAGTTTTGATTAGCATGCTCTGCTTTAGAATATTAGTATAGTCATAAAGCTATAGAAATGGATAGTAGATCAATAAATAAAACATGAAAATAAAAGTTGCTGCTTGTTGTGTTACAAATCTCTTAATTTATTTTCATCTAGATGATATTTTGATTGAATACAGTGAATTGGAAGCCACCAGATTTTCTGATCATCCAGGCAACAATGTTTTTAAATAGTTTTTGATAATGGTAATGTTGGACACACCAGTCAGCTGTATCACCCTTATATGTACAATGACAAGCGTGTATGAAGAAACACGCATGCAGGAAGATTATTTTGAAAATAGATAAATGGAATACATGCTCACATATACATAAAGATGCATCCACATACAAATAACCATTGGTGTAAGCAGAAATGTAAACATATTCAGATGTAGGACATAGATATTGATATGTTGAATATTATTTTGACTGTAAATATTTGATGCTTTCTATGTAGGAACAACAGGGTTTGCGAGTAATTTCTCTCTGGATTTTAGGTGCCAATTATTAAGATAAATCTCTTGCTTTTTTACCAATATGTAGATATGTATGTACTTTTTTTATGCTGATGCATTTCGTCTGATCTCATGTTTTTCCTATAATCTGTTCATTGATTTCCTTAGATGAATGCATTTTTAGTTAATTTAGCCCATGGAGAATGTAAAGTAAATTAACAAGGAAAATTGCCTTGTTTGTGTAGTTATTTAAAGATGTCTCCTTTTATATTATTGATTATGTTTATTTCTCCTATGGACTGAATTGCTAAAGGGACTGGTTTAAAGAAATAAATATATTTTGATAAACCTTAGCTTCTCTTTATTTGACATAATTTAGCAGTCATAGAAATCTTGATAGAGCATGGATGTTTCCTCTTACTGCTTCATGTACATTTGCTTATCACACTATGATTAAGAGGAATACTCTGTAGGAAGTGAAAATAGTTGTGGGTGTGCTAACAGGCTACCACTTCTCTTTACAGTTACATACGACAAAGCAAAGTAGTTGATGAAACTTTCCCTCCTCTGCCAAGAACAATGGTGCCTCGTAACCTTGTTGGGTTCATGTACAGTGATAGTGAAGCAGAAAATTGCAGCTGCAGTGATAATGACATTTGTGACTGTTACGACAGTGACTGGGAGGGGTTTCCTTCAGGGATAGATCTAACAGAACTTGGTTCATAATTCAAGGAAACCATTCGGATGATTCTTTTGAAAGGGATGGATTAGATGAAAGAATTCATTGCTGAAAATTATTACTGTCATTCTGAGTAGGTTAAAAGGAAACCACTTCATTCACATGGGCCAGGCAGAAGGCTGTCCCACGCTAATCATTTCAAGTTCAGCTTCTGTTAAAGCTCACTGAAATTTAGGGTAAGGGTAAGGTATATGTTTGAACACAGTATCAGCCTGTACTTAACAGAGCTTGCCCTTACACTTTCCTAGATGATTGGACCAAATATCAAGCTTTCTAATGCTTTGAGGCTGCTTTAACATGCATTTGGTAAATCCTGCATAATAGGTGTTAAACATCAACTTGTACAATGATCTTAAATGTTTTTTCCATTGTTTTTATACACACAAAAGCATTTTTTCTGTGGTGGCAACATAACCATCCTTCCATGAGAGATAAGAAGTTGGCCTTTGGTTTTAACAGGTTTATGGTATGATATTAGACGCTATTTGCTTGCTTAAACAGATGGTGCTAATCCCAGTATAAAAGAGACTAACAGAATAAAGGATAAAGTGGAGAAGGTTTGTGCATGTAAAAACTGAATGAGCATCTACTAATAAATGAAACCCTGTTGTTCCTATATGTTATGATCTGCTACTTGACACATTTTTGTCTGAGAAGATATTTTCTCACTTATAGATACTATTTCATAGTAAGGAGAGTGCTTCATTTGTATGTTGACACTTTGAGAGTGCAGTACACTTTTGAATTGTACTTTGTGTTACATTATTTAATGTTTCTGTCATTTTCTTAAAGCTTAAATTTCCCTAAAATGCTTATCTTTCTTAAGATATTCCTATTTTTTTAAATGAATATTAGGTTATCTCCCAGTGTTAAGTCTGTTTAGAAAAGAAAAATGCACTTTAGAAATCTATTTCTTTAGAATTCAGTATCTCTCATAACTACCAGATGATATTTCATGCTGCTTATTGCTCACTATCTTGGAATTATCATGCAATTTCTGAAAGCAGTTAAGCACAGCTTACATGTATTCAAAATTAAAGTATTGCTCTTTCTGTGAAAATCTTAGTGAAAACTAGCTTTGCAATGCTTTGGTTTTCTGTTGGCGACCAAAGCTGACATTTTGTTTTTGATCATTAGTTAATGTTTCCTAAATCCTCATATGTATTATATACTGACATGATGTTACTACCAAAATAATCAGTCATAATTGCCTGTTTATATGGCATTAGTAATGACTTAGATAAGCTTGATTGTATTGGGAGATCAATGAAGTAGTTAGAGAATTGCAGGGAAAAATTAGCAAAAGCCAGTAGTTCGATTGAATTAAAATTATTTCTCAATGTGGAGTAATAAAGAGTGATTTATAGGATGAAATGAATTACTCTCCTTATGAAAAAAAAGGTTCAAGTATTGTACTCAAAAATTTCTCTAATGCAAGTTTACACTAGAGTTACAGAAGGGAGAAGAGGAAAATTTCTTGTCTAATGATTTGTTTTATTTTTCCCTTTTATACAGGTACTCAAACCTCAGTGACATATCGAACCACATGTTCCCTCCTGTTGCTCATCAGGAGACACTGGGCGAATACTCTTCCTTGCAATACTGGCGGGCACCCTTGCCTGACGTGTCCACTGAAATAGAAGCAGTCCTTTCAGAGGAGAGAGGGAAATAGAGGTCTTGTTGGAACATTAAACTTTTCAGTGGTGGTAAGAGCATCTTACACTTTTGCATTATTTTTTTCTTTCTTTCTTTCTTTTTCTTCTCCTTTTCTTTCATTCTTTCTTTTTCTTCTTTTTTCTTTTCTTTTCTTTTCTCTTCTGGTTACCATGCATTTTGTTGCTATATATACAGTTTTTTCTGAGATTTATTAATATTTTTTTTGTATATCCCTGAAAGTTTTTTATTTTTATTTTTTTACTTTATCAGATATGATATTTGAGTCCTGGATTTGCTTGTACTTTCCTTAGTGTGAAAATGTTAATGATTGCCTTATTTCTGTAAAATAGCTTTTACATGTAAAGCAAATAAAGGGCTGTACTTTTGGTGTGGGTTACCATTTCATAAAATCATTTCCTCTGACGATGTCTAATTGTGATCTTACTTTTTCCAGGAATGAAAATATTGCGAATGCGATGTACAAGTGAGTAGTGGAGGGACCAGCCTCAGACATTCCAAGAAGAACAAAGATCCTAATTGTACTTGACATCACGGGAAGGAATCACTGATTTACATTTTTGAAGTATATTTGTAATGGAGCCTGTTAAAGTTTTCTCTGAGGTTACAAATATTTTCAGTTAAAGAAGGATTGCAGTGTTTGAATGCTGTCATCGTGTACATTACATGTGAGATGCTCACCTCAGGGATGGTTATTAATTTATTGTGGTTGCTGGATAAACTGATTGATTTCCACAAATATGATGGTATGTTCTTGTTTATAAGTCTGATATACAAGGTTAAGACATACCTGTGATTAACTGGAAATTCGTTTAGGAAACAGGCAAAAAAAGACAGGACATTGTATGTCAATATTTTTTTTTTTCTTTTTTTTTGTCATCAAAATGATAACCTACCAACACTTTTAATAGAACTAAAGTGAATTTAATGGATGAATACTGTGGATGGAGGGTTTCATTTCATTTATTAGAAATAGTACATGAAAAATGTTATCTTGAAATTAATAGTTGTGTTAAGATACATGAAAAATGTTCACTTGAAATTGATAGTGTTAAAATGCACGAAAGCAAAATTTGTCATTGCTAGCATTTATATTGGTGTTAATGATTGATTATTTATTATTCTCTTTGTCATTTCAATTTTGCTATTGGGTATTATAGATAGAGACTGAAGATTAAAATTGCAGGTGTCAGATTTTGAAAATTCTGTAGAGTAACCAGTGATTGTAAAATTATGCAACTGAACAATAATATCTACATGTGACTGGACTTAGAATGATATTCTTTCTTTATAATAAATGATATCTGGTGTTGTAGGTTTAAGTTCAGAAATTTGCATATCAGTTTAGTTTTATGTGTTTTTCAGGGAAATTAAGTATATATTTATTTTTTGTACAGTTCTATGTTTTGTCTGGTCTACATTCATTCATTTCCATCTCATTCTTGCATTGTCAGAATCTAAAGCCATTTATTTGAATTTAATTTCCATATTTATTACATGTGCAGCTTTTGTATTGTCTAGTTACTGTCAAGCTGCTTTTCATCAACACCATATAATACTGTATGTATTTATATTCCTTTACATGTTGTAGGGATTAAATAATGTAATTTGAAGCATCTCATTTGAAAGTTTACAGGCTACATCAACTGTGATTCTCAAGTAGTCAGAATATGTTCTAAAAGCTTGGGGAGTTGTTGCACATATGTGATAAAAAAACAATTAGTGCTGTCAACTGTGATCTGTTGAAGACATCCACCAAGGTGCTGTATGTAACATGAAGTGTTGATTATTTCAAATTCTGAATTGGTTTGCAGATGTTCCAGAATCCAAGTAAACAGTGTTGTGTACAAGTGTGTGAGTTTACACAGGCATGTGGGATCTGTCAGAAGTCATTCGTATTGATGTACTTGCAACCAGTTGCTGCTTTGATTCCGTTATTTAAGACCATTGTTTCGGGAATGGAGATTCCATTTTCATTTGAAAGATGAATCTGAAATGTTTCATAGAATTTCTTACAAACAATGCACTGTCTGTTTTGAAACTAGTTTATTGTCAAGTGAGATGATCAGAAGACATAGTCCTTGTAGGTTTGTATTATATTGGTATATCTCTTTTGGCTCAAAGAGAAAAGAAGCATTTATTCTGAAACCAGTGCAAAATTTCAAAGTCAGTGATAATTTGTAGTCACAAAAAGTTATCGCTCTAGTTATAAAAAAAAAGGAAATAGGACAGAAAAGATTATACATCAGAATAGGTATTTGATTAATAAACTATCAGTGGATTCTAAAGAGTAAATATTAACAATGAATGAAAGAAATGTGTTGTTGGTATCAGAATGAGTAATGTATGTAGCATGAATGGAAAACTTCTCTAATAGCTTGTGATTTACTTAATGGTATGTGATACATCATAATGTAGTGTCAGGATTTATACACAATTACCCTTGCCTTCATTTCATTGGCTTCTTTACACATGGAGTATTTGTGAAGATGTCTGTAAACTTTTTAATCACTTTCATTTTATAGTCCAGTGTACTGGAATATGATAAAATGATACAGTATGTGTGCTCTCATTTATGCTGAATATAACAGTGTCATATTTAGTTACTTTTCAATGTGGAATTTTTGTTGCATATGTTGTGTGCATCTTTTGTACAAATCTTTTTGCTTGTATCAGGCAAATATAGGGTTAAGTTTTATGATAGACAGTATCAGATTGATTTTTGCAAATATAGCTTTTAAGAATTGTTTTCAGTGAAGTGTAAATCAAGTTTTGTGATTATTTTATTATTGTTTTTATTATTATGGTTTTCATTATTTCTTTTTACAAGATGATCAAGGGCCACTGAGATGTCAGCAAGTGGAGTAGGTAGAACAATGTAGGTCCTAAATTTAACATGTAATCTGTTACCACTAACTGTTACAAGTTTCCTCTTTGTATTTAAATGGCATTTATATTCAGAGTCTACAAGATACAGAACAAAAGAAAAGGAACAATTTGCAATAACATTAGGGGCATACTGGATCGTATTTTCATTTTCATCCATCATGGCCTTGGGAAGGAAGCTAATACTCACATGGAAGTAATGTAAATTCCTCTAATTTTGCATTGACATGTGTACTTTACTTGATTATTTAAGTATTATATTATTTATATGTATAGAGGGTTTTCCCAAATCAGTGTTCACCAATTCCTCATTCACATGACCAAAATGTTAGCAGTATTATGCTTTAGATGTGCTTTTTCAGTACTGGCTTCATAATTAGAAGTGGTGCAAGTCAATATTGGCTAGACAAATTTTTTTTATGAAGATAATTTCACATAGTTGGAAAATCTCTGTAAGGCGGATCTCTATCCATTCGGACTCTTAGAGTATAAGTTGCTTGAAAATTTACATGTCCCATAAGAAATTGAGCCAGATGTATAGCATTTAAAAATGGAATGAAACATCTATTTTGTTTTTATTGGTCATTAGTAATAGTAATGCAAAATATGGATTTTCTTGTAGCACATCTTATTAGATGAAAAACAATAAGAATTAAGATAGACCAAGTTGTAAAGTGGCGAGCTGTAAGTGGGCATGTTTTTATTGTCATTGGCTCAATTCACTGCATTTTTTGCTAGGCGTTAAGCACTGCTCCAGTTCTGCATTTCCTTAAAATTCTTTAGAGATCACATATTCCTACTACACTGAATGTGTTCCTCTAGTTACATTGCTGACGGTTTGACCGAAGGCGGTCTTTGTCTTATATGCTTATTTTATTTGCTGTCTTGTGATATGCTCATGTCAATAAATTATAAACATTACTGATTTATTTTTTAATGACCTTAAAGTGGTGTGTATGGATTCCATGCTTTTGTCACAAAAACTATGTAAACAAAAATCACTAAAGGTTCAAAAAAATTATCGACTGGTTTAAATTAACTTGACTCGTTAGAGTACTGTTTTCAGATACACTCAAATGTGCAAACACAAATTTATATATATATATATATATATATATATATATATTATATATATTATATATATATATATATATATATATATTATTAATATTATATTGTATGTACATCTGTATACATATGCATGTGTATATTTATGTATATAGTATATGTATGTATGAATCTATATATATATATATATATATATATATATATATATATATATATATATATATATATATATATATATATATATATATATATATATATATATATATATATATAATATATATATATATCTATTATATATCTATGTGATATCTATATCTATGTCTATCTATCTATCAATTATGTATTTTATATTATGCATTATGTAGTATATATTTAAATATTTATTTCTGTATATGTATAAGTATATGTATCTTCATATCCATATTCATATGAATATGAATATAAATATAGATATATATATATAAGTACAGATATAGATATAATATAGATATAAATATGTTTGTGTAAACCACGAATATATTATCAAGTAATGTTCTTTAAACAGCTGACGATTCATACACTTCTCTGTTTGACTCTTCCTCCTTTTATATGTACTTTGGTATCAAATTTATTACACACAGAGACCTGATTTGATGAAAGTTATTTACATAACATACATGTCCTGCAAAAAGCCTCGGATAGATGTCAAAATACCTATCCAAACTGGCTGTGCTTCTACTTCTGTAGAGGCCTATTAATCGATCTACTTATCTGAATTGTGCTTATTCACATACCTGGCCGGTAAAAAATATAAAAATAGATAATTAATATCAAAGAGAACACTAGTTCTATGAAACAACAATTCAACTAATAAGTGCTGGTCTCTGGACAGTGCAATTTTACCCGCAGGATGCAGTATTCGTACAACAAAGTAATGAGAATATGGGTTTGCACATTGCGCTTTGGTGATATACAACTGCCTTTGCCTCCTAAACTGCATTCTATACATAGTGTATAATATGCTGATACCCTATGCGAAGCCTTTTCAGTGCTGACATATATACCTACACGTGGATTTAATTTATGATTTTTTCACAGGAATATAAAGAGAAATAACTGAATTCACGGTTAAGGAAGTAAATGACATCGCTATTTTCATAAATTGGACTTGGTAGATTTACACTAATGAATCTATTAGAGGTATATGAAACTGATTAGTCTTTACGAACCAACTGATCAACTTGACCACTAAGTCACGGCAATCCTATATAGAAAAAAATGAATTCTTTGTATGCCATTCTCATTTATCTGAAAAAAAGCTTATGCAATAATATCTACTTGCATTTTTTGTGTTTATTATATTCAAAACTCTTCCATGGATTGCAGATTTCACTACATCAAGGATACTGAAAATCCATTTATATGACTTTAATAATTAAATATGTGCATATTATACAGAAAATACATATTATACAGAGCATCCATGAATCAACATAAAAAAGTCTACGTAATTCAAGCAATGTCCAGCAAGAAACAAGTTTTACAAGCATCCGGAGCCTTAGTAATAGATCGTGAAATTATGTTCCAGATGAAATCTCTTCAACACCGGTTCAGATATTAAACCATACACGAATACTGATGAAAGTAAAGACCTTTGACTAGAAAAAATAGTAACTACGAAGCCACATCATGTCAGTACGTGAAAGGAGTCGTTACTGGATAAAGTTCACCCGTTTTGCTGCCCCCTCGTTCGTTCATCCCATTGGCATAGCGCTTTTGAAAGACAGCGGTCGCCACCCTCAGCATTCGACTAAGCCGAATGACCAAGCCCGGAAAGTAATACAGGAGACCAATAGCAAAGCGCATAAGCCAGTACTTGATGGTACCCTGCATGGACATGCGACTGATGAAGTTTGGAATGTCGAGGTCGAGAGTATAGGCCACATAACGAAAGCCTGCTTCGAACGAGAGCGTGTGCATGAGGTGGCTCAACCCCGTGACGAGGGAGAGAGTCATGTGCTCGTAGTTCCAGTCTGCCTTCGCCAGCGCTGGGATGCCAACTAGTCTTTCGACCTCCAGGCACAGCGAGCGCACTTCCGCCAAGGACCCTCGGCAGAAGTTGTACTTGTCATCTACCCCGAGAAGCCAGCCCAGCCCTCGCCAGAAGTGGACAAGGCCCTCCAGGTCCTCGTCTGTGGCTGCTCCGGCGCCCATCTTGTGCGGGTGGGCCACCACCAGCCCCATGAACTGGTACTGGGTCAGACTCATGTCCCACTGGCTGATGAAGAAGGGAGGGTTGTCTGGACCCTCGAGCGGGAGCCCGTCTCCTGCCTGATCCTTTAGGTCCTCGCGGATGGTGTGGTAAAAGGGGCAAGCAGGTTCCTCGTGGCCTTTGTCCTGGATCTTTGTATTCCACACCCTGTCGTGCTCCTTCGAGGAATTGAACACGCCGGACAGCCTGTTGTGTATGGCTCGCACCGACAGCAGGTCCTTGTGGGCACGATCGGCGGGGTCCCACACATCCCCCTCGTGCCAGGCGGTCACGTGCTGGAAGGTCGAGAAATATCGCCGAAGAGCTTTCCGCGGGGAGTCCGAGCGGCCAGTGTACATGAGGGGCCGAAGCGCCCGCATCATGCTCAGCATAAACACGAGCGCCAAAACTTCAGAGAAACTCATGCAAAATAAATAGCGGTGGTAGAAATCTCTCCCTCGGTTGAACAGCTGTCTGTCTAACCAGGAGGGGGGCTCTATGGGGTTGCCACAGTCGCCAGGCTCGTTCAGACCCTCCAACAGCTCTTGCATTCTCGAGGACACGGGCGCTGTGGTGTCTGGCAGAATGCCTCGGTTGATGTCTTCTGGTGAAATTACTTCTTTCTGACGGCCCTCAGTAATACTTCCATTTCTGACGTGACAGCTGTGTTGATTGACAGCGACTGACGATTTCACGCCATTCATCTTTGGACAGGTTTCAGAAGTCGCCTGTGTGGCTGAACCCGTTGTTTCTGCCTGAACCAAGTGAAGTTGGCCTTATTATTGGAGACTCATTTCCAGTTTTGTATCGATAATAATGATATTATGAGAGCAATTAGGACAAATGAATAATAATAATGATTATACAATGATAATAATAAGATGATTTGCCTAATAATTGAGATAAATAGCAATAATCGACAGTATTCTAATGATTGTCCCCTAATAATAATAGACAATGAAAAACAGAAAATCATAATAGTGAAGTTATATAGACACGACAATTATTGTTATTAATAATCCTGATTGATTGCTGTTATTATTCCCCGAATAATCATAATTGTCATTACATTATAAAAGAATTATAATGATGAAATGAAATTAATAATTAACGATGATGTAATTATTATCAAATGACTATATTAAAGGGTGATTAGGGCGATAATGACAGTAATGATTAATAATGATGATGATAATGCAATATTTATGATAATATATCATTAGACAAGGCCCATTATAATGAAGAAAAAAGGTTAAAAAGCAGAAAATCTTAAAAGTCGACGAAAAACACGGCAAAATCTAGCGAAATACGGTCTTTTCAGAGATGAATCGAAAAAACCCCCTCTTGTTCTAGTTTTTCAACGGTAATTATGATGATCTAGCCAGTAATTCCTGCTGAATTATGGATGAATTTTTGATGATAACCCCATCCTGTATGACAATAATGACGATAATATCATAATTACTGAGAGTAGTAGGGGTAATAATTATGATAATAATTATAACAATGTATTATAATATGATTTGCCTAATAATTGCATAATAGGCAATAATCGACACTATGGTCAATGATTTTCCTAATAAAATAATCGACAATGATAACACGAAATAATATATAGAAGTAATTATATACACGGCCTATTATTGTATTATAATCCTTATTATTGTTTGTTATTATTTCCAGAATTATGCATTAATGTCACTATAAATTATTAAAATAATATAATGATGAAATGACATTCATATGACAGATGATATTATCCCCTAATGAACATATTAAGGGTGATTAGGGCGATAATGAACAGGTAAAGATAATAACTGATGATGATCAATGACAAAATGATGATATTGTATTATTAAAAGCCCATCATAATGAGAAAAAGGCTTAAAATTAGAAAAAATACCAAAAGTCAGAAAAGGGCAGCCGAATCTAGCAAAAATACAGCCTTTGGCAGAGACGAGTTCGAAAACCACTCTTTTTCGTGTTAAAGGATGATTATGATTGAATTGGCAATCGAATTCTGGCTAATGCAATTGAATGATTTTGGATGATAACCCATATATTATGAGGACAATAATTGGACCGGATAATATATAATTACGAGAGAATTACGGACAAATTATGATAGTAATTATTACAATGATTAATTAATCATAAATTACGAAGAGTAATTACGACCCAATTATGATAGTAATTATACAATGACTACCTAATAATTGCAATAATAGCCAATAAATCAATCACTAATGTCTTTTTTCCTAATAATTAATCCACGACAATATTAACAGAAATAATAATAGTAATTTTAATGAACGGCTTATTATTGGTTGTAATAATCCTTATTATTGTTGT